TATAATATGGAGGTCCTTTTCACAAAACAGATCGATCTTGTATTTCAAAATAAGGTGATAGATGGAATCACTAAGAAGAAGAGCTTTCAGCAGTTGGTCGAACGAGACTCCAAGCAATAGGCGAAGAGCAACTCACGGTGGAAGGAAGCCGATGCCGAACGAAGAGGGAAAAAGCACTACAGGAAAATGTCCTATTACCGTCGTATTTTTCTGGCAGACATCTGGTCGCCGAAAATGGCGATGCTGTTACCGACGGAACATGTGCGACGGAAACTTTACGGCGGTCTTTCCGGCGGCTGACCTGTCGCAAACTTACAGGCGGAGAATGCACGGGTTATGCGCCTGTTTTATAACTTTACCGGTGCATAGTCTGTTGGTAAGTACCTGCGGACGTACCGGCGTCTTTTGTGCCGGACTAACTTAAACATGATGAAATTATACTGGCGATTTCGCGCTGGTAATCGGACCGTCAGAACGTCCGCCGGTAATTATCATATATCGGGCAAGCCCTAGGGCTGCCTTCTCATTTCTCTGTTTCGTTAATTTTCGCTCCGTGCCTCCTCCCCTTCGCCGCTGTTCGACTTCGCTCCGTTCTCCTTCAAATATGTTCGACTTCACTCCCTACTATTCGACTTCGCTCCGACGGCACTGTTTGACTTCGATGGCTGTTCGACTTCGCCGTTCGACTTTGCTCCGACGGCTCCGACGCCTCTTGACTTTGCTCCTTCGTCGCGATTCGACTTGCTCCGTCGACGGTGTTGGACTTCGCTCCTTGGTCGGCGTTCGACAGTGTCGCTGTTCGACTTCGCTCCTTCGTTCCGATCCTTTGCTCCTTCCATCGCGGTTCAACTTGCTCCTTTGACCGTGTTCGACTTTGCTCCTTCGCTCCGATCCTTCGCTCCTTCGACCGTGTTCAGGTAACTTTCTCTCTTTCGCGCTATTTGACTTCGCTACTTCGACGACCTAACTTAGACATTAACGCTCGAAGACCTAGCTTCCACATTAATGCTTGATCGTTTGCTATATAGGTAACTTGTTCGACTTCGCTTGCTGGATCGGCTGTTACGACATTTTAAGGGGAGCTAGCTTGCTGTGTAGGTAACTTTCTTTCTTTCTCTTGTAACGTTGCGCATGCAGTAATCATCATCATTTGTTATAAAAGAAATAAGCATATACGTGAAAATGTTGGAGTAGCTCCAGTGGAAGATAAGATTAGAATGAGTCGCCTTAGATGGTTTGGTCGCATTTAACGGAGGCCTTATCTAGTGATGTCATCGTTGTTGATGTGTTGGAATTAGCTAGTGATATGCATAATATGTGGGAATTAACTAGTGATTTGCATATATAATTATGATCTCAGATAGGGTGATCCCAGTAGTTGGGTAAAGATAGTGAGATCTTAGAGAGATCGGGTTCAATCAATTTGTTCAATCCAATTCATTCAAAAGGTTTGTCTTATCAAATAGTATGATTAAAATTGTGCTAGTTGATTAGAGAGATGTCCATCCCGAGATCTCAGACGGATGTTGATATATTAAAGAGATGTTGTAACCTTAAAGATAGACGAGATCTCAGATGGTTGTTACCCTTTTCATTGGCCAAATTTGACATTTTCAATTAAATGCATAACTTAAAACTATTGAAGCGTCATAGCAATATTAGTTCCAATAAATGTTACAACATTATCTAATATATTCAAATTATATGTATGTCATATTATGGATATTAGAACTCAACGAAGTTGGATATATAATCGATTGGCGCAAGGACGAAAGGCATTAACGGATGAGTTCATTAGAGGGGTGAATATTTTTATTCAGACAGCTTGTCAACTACCTAGTTTCATCTCAGATGAAAAGTTTCATTTCCCATGTTCTAAACATAAAAATTAGGTGCACCTAAGCCCAGATGACGTTACTGTTGATCTATATTGTCGGGATTTCATGTCAAAATATTGGTATTGAACTTCACATGGTGAGTATGAACTACATTTCGATTCTTAATGCTACTATAGATGCAAGTGGAGCATAATTTGAGCAATATACAGAAGAGTCATCTAATAAAGAAACACAAAATTTTTATGATTTATTGCATGTTTCCCAACAACCAATATGTAATGGGTGTACCACTCGCTCAGAGCTGTCCGTTGCTGTTAAGATGTTAAGTATCAAGGTAGAATATAATGTCCCTTGTGATTGTTTTAATCAATTAATTAGATTGCTCAAAGAATTCAATCTAGCAGATAACATAATTCCTACAGATTTATATCAGACTAAGAAGTTGATTTCTAAGCTTGGTTTAACATACATAAAAATAAATTGTTGTGTCAATGGATGCATATTATTTTATAAAGATTTCTAATCAGATATTGCATGTCATTATTGCAACGCAACGAGATTTAAACCAAAATCTATCACGAAAAGAAAGCTGAAGGAAATACCAACCAGAAGGTTATTTTACTTAACCATAATTCCTAGACTGTAACAGTTATATGCATCAATGAGATCCATCGATGTATTCTTACAACCATTAATTGATGATTTAAAATTATTATGGGAAGAGAGAATAAGTACATATGATATCTCCACCAAACAAAACTTCATTATGAGTGCAGTATTACTTTGAACAATTGATGATTTTCTCCCCGTACGGTATGCTCTCAGGTTGAATACTTCTAGAAAATTAGCTTGTCCGCTTTGTATGGAATATACGAAGTCGGTCACTTTAAAGCACGGAGGGAAAAACACTTGGTTCGACTGTCATCGCATGTTCTTACCTACATATCATCCTTTTAGGCAAAATAAGGATGGTTTTGTCAAAAATAAAATAGTTATGTCGCTGCCTCCTCCTAGATTTACTAGTGAATAAGTATTTGAAAGAGTAAGATCAATGCTCACAATAGTGGATTCTCCAACATTAGCTGATTACAAATTACCAGGGTATGGTGTCAATCATAATTGGGCAAAGAAAAGTATTTATTGGTCATTACCATATTGGAGGACAAACTTAATCAGACATAACTTAGACATGATAAATATAGAGAAAAATGTATTTGATAATATATTCAAAATAGTTATGAACATCAAAGATAAATCCAAATACAACATAAAAGCAAAAATGGACTTAAATGAGATTTGTAGGAGGAAAACATTAGAACTGAGGGATGCTGGAAATGGAAGATTTTTAAAACCAAAAGCTTCATTAACTTTAAGTTTAGAGCAAAGACAATCTGTTTGTGAATGGGTGAAGAGTTTACGGGTGCCTGATGGTTATTCTTCAAATCTAAGTAGATGTGTTGACATTAGAATTGAGAGATTGTTTGGTATGAAGAGTCATGACTGCCATATCTTTATGCAATGTCTATACTACCAACTGCCTTTAGTTATTTGTCGGATCAAATTTTAAAGTCCTTGATCGAGTTTAGTATCTTATTCAAAGATTTATGCTCTTCAAAGCTTAATACAGAGTCCCTGATTCTTATGGAGCAGAATATCCCTTTTATTCTGTGTAAACTTGAGAAGATATTTCTTACAGGCTTCTTTGACTCTACGGAGCATCTGCCCGTGCATTTGCCATATGAAGTTAGAGTTGGTGGACCTGTTCAGTATCGATGGATGTATCCTTTTGAGAGGTATTTAAATAAACTTAAGAAGACTGTTAGGAACAAAACACATCCTGAAGGATCAATATGCGAAGCAAATTTAATGTACGAGACAACCCAGTTTTGTTTTTATTACTTTGAAACAACGTCACAGTCAAGTTATAGCACTGCACCTGAAAATGTGAGTCATTCCTCAAATTTATCTGTATTCAACGGTAGTGTTGAACTATTAAGCGCTAGTACCATGCGTTATTTGACTGATAGGAGATGCGAGTTGCCACTTTATATGTCTTGCTTAATTGTGATGAAGTTGAGCCATATCTCGAGTAAGTATGAATAAGCTTGCTTATAAATTTGTTCTCATACTTAAATTCAATCTAAACCTTAATGTTTACAGAAGTTTTATTGATGGATTGAATATAACAGAAGAAGTAGAAGTCCAAAAGATAGTGAAAACAGAATTCCCAATTTGATTTAGAAATACGATACATAAAATGGCTATTCATCTCTTTAATTACTTATTAAGCATGCTACTGACATATTTTACGTACTAACTATAGGTTCACACTAAAGGAAGTAATTTGCAATATTATAGGTTAGTTGATCTAGCTTGGGGACCTAATAGAGCTGTGAAGTGTTTTCAAATTTTTTTAGTTAATGGTTACAAATTCCAAACAAAATCTTGGTGTGAAGATAGAAAAATAGATAATGCTGGTGTATGTGTTAGAGGGAATACCCATACAGGTGATGATTTTGAGTATTACGGGGTATTGCAAGAAATATTAAAGTTGGAATATCCTGATGTTTGGAATAATGTTTATCTTTTTAATTGTGAGGGTTTGATCCAGTACAAAATAAATGTACAAGAAAACATCCATTGTACGATATTACAGAAGTTAAGCGAGGTAGGAAATATTCTAAGTTTGACCCAGTCATCATTGCTAGTTAGGCAAGTCAAGTCTATTTTGCAAATTACCCGAGTAGAGTACGAGGCAAGCAAGATTGACTCGTAGTTTTGAAGACCAAACTCACGGGAATTATTGAGAAGACTACTACAATACCACCAGCACCTCAATAAGAGTTTATGTCAAACATAAAAGATGTTACTAACGATGTGGACGATTAAATTATAACTATTGAGAGTGAGTTGGAGTTAGAAGAAGTGGATTTAAACATAGAGGAGATTCATGACGAATCTGATAGTGGTGCAGAAGTTTCATCGTATGAAAATGAATCAGCATAATGTAATTGATATTTGACTAATAAATAATTTTTTTAAGTGCCGCGTTATTGTATATTTATAATCTTTTTGTACTTGCATTATTTTAATTGCTGTGCTATTTTATTTTATTTTTTTGTAGTAATTCATATTGCTAATTTTTTTTAATTTTTTGTGCAGATGACTTCAGGAGATGATCGTCAAAGAGGAATAATAAAGAATATATTTGGTAAGCGTAGCAAGAAGATTACTGTTAGCTCATCCAGCAGGTCTATAAGTATTGCGGGCACCTCTTCATTTCAGCCAACTACTCAGAGTCAGCCTAGCCCACAGTTCTACTCACCAGACCCATACTTACCTTCACCGGACCTTACGCAGACTACTCCTTTCTACCCCTACTTCCCACCACCACCTTCTCATGGTGTCTATCCTACATATCCGCCATATTCATATCCGTCATATGTCCCACCACCTGCTCAGCCCTCTACAGCACTACCTCAACTCGCTACAGCATCACCTCAGCCCGTTACAGCACTACCTCAGCCCGCTACTGCACCACCTCAGCCCGTTGCAACAAAGCAGGCGACAGAGGGTCGCATGTTGATTGAACTTGACGGTGACACATAAGTACTAATTTTATTTCATCAATGCAAATAAAATTGAATTAATTTTTCTGATAAGTAATATATTTCTCTCAGGTTTCATCCGTCAAAGAAGCCAATGCATAAAATACGAGCATAATACGGAGCAGATACGATGCTCCTTATATTTCTTGGAAGAAAATCTCAAAAGAAGTACGAAATGTGGTTTAAAGAGTTTGAGGTTTATTATTATATAATTTTTTTTGTATTATAAGTAATTTACATAAGCTAACAAATTTATTTATTCTTTATTGTATGTGTTTAAATGCATAAAGATTTTTATTGGCTTCCATAACATAATGATAAAATCAGAAAGAATTTTGAGAGGCGTGGCTCGACTCGCTTGCGAGACATGTTTACTGATATTAAAAAGGCAGGCCAGCGACCACTCTGGATTGACGAGGGTTATGGGCAGAGTTGAGCAGTGCTTGGGGTAGCCCGGATTATACCAGGAGGGATCAGAATAGACAGAACATAGCTTCTGATTTTGGAGGCTTGGGTAGTTCCCTTCATACAGGGGGTTCTGTTCCTCATACTGAGCATAAAAGACATTTAGTAAGGCAATTTAAAATATTTAATAATTTTCTTTAATTAGAATACTAACATATGCTTTTCACAGAAAAAGGTGCTGGGTAAATAACTGACTCCTGTTGAATTGCATAGTCATATCCATAAGCGGCAGGAGGACCACCAATGGGTTTACGAGCGAGCGAGGAAAGCTTATGTAAGTATGTAAGTTTCATTTTTATGTTGTTATATATAAAATGCTTAAATTTTTATTAACTTTCATAGGAGTACACACGACTTCGAGAAAATTAGGCTACAGTAGGTGAAGGTTCTTCTGCTAGATCAGCGGAATATTCTAACTATCGCACTTGGCAGCAAGCGGCAGGAGGAATGTAGCACGACAGAGTATATGGGTTAGGCTCGCAAGCTTATGCATATGAAGGGCAGACATCTAGTGGCTCCAGTTTTTCATCTAATACACATGATTCTTTATATATCCAACAGATAGCTGTCCTTAAAATCAAGCTAGAACAGGTAAGGAAAGCACAAAATGATTGGCAAATGTAAATACAGCAGTAGTAGATGCATATGCAGCAACAACAAGCTCAAATGTTAGAAGAAATGTGAAAGATGAGGGAGTAGCTGAGTAGTCGGAGGAGTACAGCATCAACTGAGGATGGAACTGAATCAGAGTAGATGTTATTTATCTATTTTACTGATGTGGACATCTGTTTCTATATGTTTTATGTCATGTTTATATGTGTTGTTTGAACATCTTTTTTGTTATGTTTATATGTGGACATCTGTTTCTACATGTTTAGTTAATTATTGTTTGGACATGTTTGATCATGTAATTGGTGATGTTTTTTATCAGAATTTGATGTATAAATGCAAATTGTGTTGTTTATGTGTTCTTTTATGCAGGTTTTTTGTGGAAATCACTTTTTAAAGAAAGGAAGGTTTTTTTCTTTATGCTCCAGGTTTTCGACGGAATATCCGCCGGCGTCTCTGTCGGTACAACGATACGGTGTTTTCGGTGGATATTATCCGACGGTTACGAATCGTCTTATTAATGATGGAAGATCCGCCGGTATGAAAAAAGAAAAACACGAGATGTCGAGATTCACATATATTTCGCCGGAAATACTGTCAGAAAATGTTTCCGGCGCAAATTGTTAGCCGGAAAAAATTTTCGACTAGCAATAAACCGGCGGAGAGTTTTTCGCCTGAAATCCGCCGGAAAGCAACAATTTTTGGCCATTTTCATTGATACCGGTGGATTTAGTCCGCCGGTATAGGCCTGTTTTCCTGTAGTGAACTGCCCTCGAAGAAGGGAGAAAAACTGTTTTCGGGAAATGACAAAAGACTGCGCGAGGGTTGGGCGGTCCGAATTGAACAAATATATATTAGGTTAGCATTTTTTTTAATTTTTAGAGGTGGACGCTGCTAAATCTTGAGGCGAGGCGCGCCTTGAGGCGTGCCTTAGTAAACTTGAGGCAGGTCTCAATAAACTTGAGGCGGGCCTCAGTAAACTTGAGGCGTACACTTCAAATCCTTAACTCATTGTGTGAGCTTTAAGGCTTAAAGGGGCGAAATTGTGCTGAGGCGCGCCACTTATTGCGCAATTTTAAACCATGATTTAAACTAACTGTTATTAATCTTAATTAAATAATTATTTTTAATAACGATTAGTTAATCAATCCTATCTAATCACTTATAATTATGATTAATCATCATTAATTTTAATTGATTGTATTTAATTATTTTAAATCTTAATTAATTATTATTTATTATAATTAATTATAACTAATCATTATTAATTAATATTAATTATCTTTAATTAGAGTTAATTATTATTGATTATAATTAATTATGATTAATTATAATAAGATGAAAAGATAAAAAAAACGTAGAGATTTTCTCTTGCCTCGATCCATGAGCCATTATTACCCCGACGCGATCGTCGACGACCCCTACAGTTTTAAAGGTACAAATCCTATCCTCGACGCTTACAACGTGGCGAACAACCACCCATGCTCGATTGTCTTAGCACGGTGGGAGGAACTTCATTGCGATGCTGTAGCGAGGTAGGTAATCCCCCTAAAGTCTTGTTTTCGATATTTATAATGCGATGAGCAACCACCCATACGCATTTTTTTAGCACGGTGGGAGAAAACTCGCTGCGATGCTTGCGACGAGGCATGCAATCCTTGTGCGTGCTTTTCTTAGCATTGTAGGGCAAAATGTTAAGTACCCATACGTGGGGAAATCACTGTGCATTTTAAACAGGTTCCTCTGAAGACTCATGCACGTCTTTCTTGGCATGGTGGGATTGATGAATACGGCAGCAATGTCTTCCCACACTGATCGTGCACGTCTTTTTTGACATGGTGGGCAGGCTATGACTCCCCATATTTTCTTCAAACAAAGGATATGCCAGGATGTTGTCGAAATTCAGATTGAAATGCACAGGACATGAACAAAAAGGAATTTGAATAGAAAATAAAAAGTACCCCTAAAGATCCATGCTCGTTTTTCTTGGCTTGGTGGGATTAAAGACTACTGCCGCAGTGTCCTCCGACACCGACTGTGCACGTCTTTGTTGACGTGGCGGGTAGGCTATGACTCCATGTATTTCTCCCAAACGGGTGTATGTTGAGATGCTGCCGAAATTCAGAGTAAAGTGCACAAAGCTTGAACAATAAGAAGACTTCACTTGAGCAACAATACAAAGGACTTATACTTGAATAGAAATGACTAATACTTGAAGAACCGTGCAGAGAACTAAATCTTAACTGAACAAATAGAGAACTCGAACAAACAACATGGAACTAAACTTGAACCGAACAAACAAGGGATTTAAGCTGAATAGCAGGGAACAAAACCCTAAAATACTAAAATGCATAATAATAATCAAAATACAAAAGATAAATTTGATTATTTAAACAAACATCAAATTAATAGCAAGGGACTCGTAACGAACAGGACCTCGGTGCATATAAGTAATGACAATAGTCAATTTACAGTATCTAAACAATCACAAGCAAACATCAATCATCAGAACCTATGAATACATTAGACAAGGTACATAATGGATGATGCTGATGAATGCAACAGACTTCCACAATAGTCCCTATGAGGTCAAGTGTACTGTACTTGCAAGTAATAACAGTCATCTGTAGAATGCACGAGTGTCTCCCACATGTACTAATGAAATCCCCAACATAAACAACAATGCTTATAAATTGAAATGACAACACTGGAAATCGATAGTGGAAGACCCATTGATGTAGGAAAGGGGGGGTCAAAACAAAATGAATATTTTGTTCTTTGGGCTGCTTGTTGTCTCACGGTTTGGGTCTTGGCTGCTCTCGGGTTGGGCTTTGGCTTTGGCTGTTTGGTTTTGAGCTTAAAAAGTTGGGTTCTACTTGGTGCTAGCTCATAAATGCTTGAGCTAAAACTTTAGCTTATTATATTAGTTAGTTCTTCTACTTTTTAGCTCATTATGAGAAGTGAATTTGATTCTTCCCCTTGGTTGTTTCTTCCCATTCTTGTGTCTCTTCGGTTTCTTCTTTGAGAATAAAAGTTGGCTTGTTATCTCTTGGGATTTCTACCTGGCTATTTTTCCTGTGAATCCCCTGCCTCGTTTACTGTGTTGGCTCCCCGGGTCCCTCTCTAACTGCTTTCCCGTGGCTTGCTGACTGGGTTTCCCGTGGCTTGCTGGCTGGGTTTCCCATGTCTTTTCTTCCTATTTTCTGTGCAGAATTTGGGGGTTGCTTGTGGTATCTATTACTCTTTCTTTTCCCCTTAATTGATTGATTTTAAATGAAGTTTTAGGTGGCTGTTTGGCTCCCCTTTTGTGCCTATATATAGAGATATTTGTGGCTGTTTTTGGATGATTAAATGGTATATTTGGACAGCAAAACCTGAGGTTTTTTCTTGGAAGAGCTTGAGAGCTTGTTCCGTTTCTTCCTCTCCTTCTTAGGAAAGCTTGCAAGCTTGTCCTCCTATCTTTCGTCTCGGGACTCTTATCTCATTCTTTTATCCGCAAGTTCCCTTCCACTTATATCTTTCTTCTCAAGCAAAGGAAATGCAATTTTAGGTGTTTTATGGTTGTCAAGAGTTGTAAGGTAATTGTTTATGTTTGTGTTTGTAAGTGTTTATGTTTGTGTTTGTAAGTGTCAAAATTTGTAAGTCTTTTATCTTATAAATAATTATATATTCTTGTATTTGTCCTAATTTTTGCTTGCATCAATTTGGTGTCAGAGCCTAGGTTTGTGTCTTCCTAAATCTCTTTTCATGTCTTTTTTTTAAAGAGTTAAAAAAATGCAAAATCACAAAAAAATTGAGTCAGTCGTCGAAGAAATTCAGTCAGTTGATCCTACATTCGAAACTCAAATGGACAGATTGGTTCTGACAGATGGAGATTCGACAGATCCCTTGCAGAATGAACTATACAAGCTCCAAGTGAAGATATATTTGTGTACGGAGCAGTACATGAAAAAGAAACAACTTTTACAAGAACAATTCAAGCGAGAGTGAGACGAGATCTTGAAAAGGTATTTGACAAAAATTCGAGAGCTTGAAGCACCTTCTTTGCCTCAGAAGAAATTTAAAGATAACTCATCGGGAGATGAATTCTTTCAACCGGAGGAGAATTGATGTAGGCAAGGGGAGGGGTTAAAACAAAATGAATATTTTGTTCATTTGGCTGCTTGTTGTCTCACGGTTTGGGTCTTGGCTGCTCTCGGATTGGGCTTTGGCTGCTTGGTTTTGAGCTTAAAAAGTTGGGTTTTAATTGGTGCTAGCTCATAAATACTTGAGCTAAAACTTTAGCTCATTATATTGGTTAGTTCTTGTAAAACCCCTTCAGATTTCATGATTTTTGGTTAGGATCGTCCAGCATGAAGTTAATATCGTCTGTACGAACTGAATAAGTGCAAATCAGAGGCGATCGTCCCGGTATGAAAATTAATTATCCTCCGTACGAAGTGGTCTGAATGCAGTCCAGAGACGATCATACCGGTACGAACGTAAATATCGTCCGTACGATCGAAAAAATCTTTTAATACACCGTTTGACTCGTTTTGAAGAAAGAAAAAGAGAGGAGAGAAAAAAAAGGAAGAAAAGGAAAAAACCTTGGTTTTGGAGGCCGCGGAGTGATTTTCATTCGTCGATGCAGTTGGAAGACTTGCTCATCTCGCAGTAAGGAATCCAGATCATATTTCTGATTTCGAAGATTTCGTGTTTTGATTTTTTTCTGCTCAGATTTGTGTTCCCGTTACCGAAAAACGTGCATATATTTGTATTGAAAAAACTTTCACCGTGTAACTTTTTGTATTTTATAGAGAATGTGATTTTGAGCAGTTTGAGTATTTATTTGTGATTTTTCATTGGATTTTTTTTGAATTATAACGACTTCTGTCTACTATATGATATTTTAAGAGTTTTCTAAATTAAATTAAATCATGTTTGTTTGATACAATGTATTGATGATATGAAAATGAATGTGATTACATGATTGAAATGTTATATTACTGTGATATGGCTGTATGTGTAATAGACAATTAGAGACAGGTTGAATCGTTGGTTGGAGACTGATTGATCTGTACAGGATGGTGGGTCGAAGGGCTTTCCTTTAAACATGATTTTATCCTCTACTGATTCACGTGATACTGATTGAGAGTTATAAAGAGATGATTACTATGCAGACGGGCAAGGAGTGGCGACTCTGTTTATTGAGCCAACGCATAATGATATTGATACTGATACAAGACTGTAAAATACTGTAATAGCCAGCACTTCTACTTGTTTAGTAAGACTACTGTACTGAAATGCATGTTTTGAAGCATTGTTCTTATTATTGTACGAATTTATCGTTACTGTACGGATTTACTGTTACTGCACGATTTCACTGTTACTGCATTATTGTTTCTATTACTGGATTGTTAATGATACTGATACAGACATTGGTACTATTTTATACTACTGCTAGCTACATTGTATTGCTCTTATGCATGTGATATACTGAGCACGTGATATAGAATAACTAGATAGCATGTATACATTTCGATATAATTTTTGCTGCATCGATTTGATTTCAACAGTTATTACTGATGTATTGATTTGACGCTGTATACGATTTTATACTGTACTGATATTACAGATACGATGCTTTCTTTAGTGATTTGACTAAGGTTATCGTTACGACAAGTACTGTAGAGATCTGGCATACGTTCGGGTTTATTGCTTTATAGACTTTTATACTATTTACAGAATTTACTACTGTCGATTGTGGATATTACTGTTACTGCATTGATTTCTGTTTCTACATTAACTCAATAATCATGTGTAAGTGATTGCTATGATTTGATTGATCGACATGCATATTGCTTCTGTACTGTGTTTTGATTTCAATTGTAAGTTGGTGATCTACTGGGCTTTTGAAGCTCATTATATGTGGTTAATGATTTCAGGTCAGGGCAAGGAAGGAGTGAGATTGATCAGGGTTTTTCAGGTTCTGTTTTCTTTGTTATAGTGATTTTTTTGTACTCAGGCTAGGATGGATACGTGATAATTATGAAGATCCTGAGTAATGTAAATGACTTTTGGGAATGAATATAAATGTGTACATTGATGTTCTAAATTATTGAAATTGTTGTACTGTTATGTACAGATAGATGACATAGATAACTCTGGTATATTGATTGTTTACATAATTAAATGAATAATTCTTCCAAGTTAGATCCTTGG